GGGGCCCCCCAGGGGGCCCCCCGGGGGGCCCCCCCGGGGGGCCCCCCTGGGGGCCCCCTAGGGGGGCCCCCGGGGGGGCCCTCTTGGTACCGTTTTAGGGCCCCCTCTTCTGTACCCTCTAGTGCCTCTACAGCAGCAGAAGACGAGTTTGAAATCCTGAGCCAGCAGCAGCAGCCTGCTGCAGCAGCAGAAGCAGCAGCAGCAGCAACAGCAGCAAAAGCAGAGCATGTGGTCAATGAGAGCAGCACAGACGCAACAGCAGCAGCAGAAGCAGCAACACCAAACTTGCAGCCGCAGGACCTCGAAGGTCAGCAGCTAATAAATAAAACAAATGTCCCTTTTGTCTCTTTTAATCTCTTTTATTTCATTTTTCTTTTTTATTTCTTTTTTGAGTTCTTTTTTTCTTTTTCTAAAATTCTTTTTGGCTCCTGAATAGTTTGCCAAGAAGCGGCTTCTTAAATTGTCCTTCTTTTGTCTCTTTGTTTTTATTATTTTTATTATTTTTGTTATTTTTATTATTTTTAATTTATTATTTTTATTTTTATTTTTAAAAACATTTTATTTGTCTCTTTTGCTGCAGTGCTGCTGCGGCAGCACCTGCTGAGTCTCCGCGACCCTCGGCAGCTGCCGCTGCAGCTCGCTGAGAAGCTGCTGCTGCTGCTGCAGCCTGCTGTGGACGATGCAGCAGCAGCAGGAGCAGCAGCAGCAGCAGAAGGAGCAGCAGCAGCAGCAGCAGCCGCCACGCTTCCACCCGGTGAGGCTGCTGCTTCCCTCCAGCTGTACATACACCAGACACTCAGCTCCCATTCACAAAGATGCCAGATCTTATCTGCTGCTGCTGCTGCTGCTGCTGCTGCTGCTGCTGCTGTCTCCGTTCAGATATCGTCAGTGCTCTTCGAGCAAAGGATCCGCGGACTGTTCTTTTGGCCCTTCAAAACGCAGGTAATGCAATTGAGCTCACTTGAGAATAAACAAATCTGCTGCTGCTGCTGCTGCTGCTGCTGCTGTTGGTACTGCTCCTGGTGCCCCTTTTGTTGTTTGAGCGTCCGCTGTTTTTCCTGGCATTGCTGTTGTGCTGATGACCGCGCCTCTACTGCTGCTGCCGCCACCACTGCTGCTGCTGCTGCTGCTGCTGCTGCTAGACCTGCTGCTGCTGCTGCTGCTGCTGCTGCAGGGCTGGCGCACGTGTCTGCGCCCTTTGTGGAGACGGAGATGGTTGTGCTGCTCAACAGTCTGCAGCAAACAGACGCAGCAGAGTTCTGGTGGCGTCAGAGGGGCCCCGGGGGCCCCGGGG